ATAAATGTATTTTCCTATTCATAAATGTTAGGAATCACACGTTGAAACGTAAGACCTCGTTAGTCCTTAGCTCGCACAAGTTTCTCAACTTCTGAGTGTTGTCGTTCGTATGGGTGCGACATCTGATTAACGGGAAAACAGATTTTAAACATATGTAAAAATTTGAGTTTGATTAACTACACTATGAACGTAGTGATTTTGCGGCGGGATCCTGTACTAAAAGTTTGAAGGATCAAATCGATTCCGGTGTAGTTTTTTAAATTACTATGGATTTTCATCAAGTAACGGCGGAGTCAATCAGGAAAAAAAAAGATACAGAATATCTATGACCAAAAAGCTAAACTAATCTAGTTCAAACTAATATTTCAAAGATGAATTATTGTTTGTTCGTGTATCATAAAGACAAAAAAATGTAATGAATAAACCCGAAAACCACTCAACTGATTCTAAAAATCATTTAACCTATAGAAATTCACATTATCAACGAGTTATCTGGACTGTGTCTTATCATCCTGATAATTAGTGTTTCCTGCGAAATTTATTGTAATGTAACTCAAGATATCAATAATGTTTCTGTAAAACTCAATAATCAGACATGCGCCTCAAAAGTCGCTAGTCAACAATAAGTTGAATGTCGTAAATATACCTACAAAAATCAACGAGATATGCTGCCAATTTCCACATTAAAATAAATGAATACTTATTTTTGCAGGATCGCGATTGAGTGTAAGAGTAGTTGTTGCTAAAATCCACCGTGGTTAAAAAGGGGATTCATTATCATTGATATTTTTTTAACAAAAAATTTGTCATCAATAACCAATGATCACTCCTAATATACATCGTCAAGTGGGTGATCATTGAGTACGCGATGACAGTGAGCCATGAATGACAACCTTTTTTATTTTTCCTTCTAAGATTTCTGCCGTAGAGCGGTAAGTCGGTATCACGTTGAACCAAATACTCCAATAATCAGAGCAATCACTTCAAAGGAGTATTCTATCAACTGATTGACCTCAGTCTATACCTAGAAAGAGCAAAAAAAAAATATTTTGAGTATACATAGATAACTTGATTGAATATGTGGTGAAAATATGATAGAATCGACTAATACTTGACAAAAAGCCATTATAACTTATTCAAAAAATACACTTGAGAGTTCACAAAACGGCGACACGTGTTTCACTATACACTAAAGATTTGTTAACTCAGAATAATTTTGAATTCAATGACAATTTTTACTTTTGTAGCGAAGGTGTAACAATAGAAAACCCCGTGAGGCCCTTAGCTGATATTTTCATGGACACAATTTCACCGATGCTAATAGATGTTCTTTTAGTAGTCACGAAAAATAATGCAATTTCAAGAGGTTTTGATGAAACAAAAGTTGAAAGAAGATATATACTAAATTTGAAANTTGGAGAAGGTGATCACTGTGACATCCTTTCAACCAAGAGTTTCTTTATTCATTGATTCAATTTAAATAGGCAATAATTATATTTATGAAAAAAAATAACTGATTGGAAGATGACTTTCCATTTGGGATTTTTCAACCTCTCCATACTCTAGTATATTAGGTTGTTTCAAAAGGTTTGCCCGTTTTTATGAGTCGACTGTAATATCTCAGTGAATATTCATTCAATTTAATCGAAATCGAGTGCACTTTTGCCAACGTAACACAAGTCGATTAACTCCGTCAGCATAAAAATTGTGTGCTCATGACTCGATGAAATCGACGAAGGCCGTTTTTGCCTAGTCCTGATTGGTGAAGGTTTTACCGGTGAGAAAGTTGCCGAAGTGCTTGAAATTCCGAATGGGGATTTGTGAAACGTCCGGATGGGCGTTGTTGTGGAGCAGGATTTACTGCTGAGACAATCATCGAAGTGCTTGAGAAGATGTTAGTCGGTTGGCAAGAGGTCTGGGGAGTTTGGTGGGTGAGGCAAAAATTCGACCCTCAATTCTATTTATTTTCGGGCGGGGATTTGTGTGAAATGTTCGAATGAGCATTGTTGTGGATCAGAATTCACCGGTGGTAAAGTTATCGAAGTGCTTGGTCTCGGGAGTTTGGTGGGTGAGGCGAAAATTCGTTCAAGTTTTGGCCAGTGGCGGCTGCTGTTCATTGAAAATTTCACAATGAAGTATTACTTGAATAAGTTACTCAATTCATTTTTAGCATTGATGGGTTTTTACTACTCTAACTCCCAAATGGAGAAAACTTCTCAAAACGAATTAAATTTGTCAAGAAATGGTCAAACTAACTAATTTGAATGAGAAATGATATTGGTATCTAATTTGGCACCCTATAAATTGATCGACGCAGTTATCGGATTTGTGTATTCCATGATGTTCCGTGACATCTACCTGCTTGAAGAAAACTGTAGGCTGGTGTCGTAGAAGTGAATTACACTCGGTTTCTCTCACTTCTAGCCAAACTTTTTTTCAGATCTTCAGTAAGATTGAAAAACCTTTGCTGTCAGCGAAGATATGCACTGGTATAATAGAAACGGATTGGAAACAGTTTGGATAGCTGAGAAACCCCAGATTTTACTACACAGGTATCCGAGAGTAAACCAAGATAAGCCTTAACGTATAAGTCGAAACGCCAGATGCCAAAAGACTCAAAAATGTTAAGAGCAACAGTCCGAAGCTCCCCGTGGAACTTGATTGCAGTATTCCTTTCCTAATTGACCTTTGCTGATATGCACTACTCAACGTTATCAGTATTTATAATCAATTTGCGGTGGCAACCAGTTTTTTCACGGTTTTATTACCTATGACATTTATATATAAAATTCTGAATAACTGATCACCTTCATATTTTTCTGAATTTGTTAGTCTAAATTTAGAAGTGCACAAATATGCCACAAG